CAGAGGGAGAAGCAGGCTCCTCGCAGGGAGCCGGAAGCAGGACTCAGTCCCTGGACGAGGATCATGCCCTGAGCCAAAGGCAGACACTCAACCACGGAGTCACCCAGACATCTCTATTTTCACTTCTATTCTTTTACTTTGTTGGCCTCTGTGAAAGCAAATGAAAATAATGTATACAAATAAAACTGTTTAAGAAATGCTAAATTAACATCTGCCACTGCTTGAAACTCCTATTATTTTGTCACTTGCATCCATTTATCTACTGGGATAGAAGTCATATAACACAGAATTTACCATCTTAACCATTTGTAAGTGTACCATTCAGCAGTGTTAAGTACAGTCACATTGTTGTAAGACAGATGTCCAGAACATTTCATCTTTCAAATATGAAATTCTATCGGAAACTGTACCCATTATGTAATTCTTTCCACTTCCTCTGGTAGTCATCCTTCTACTTTTCTCTTTCTATAATTTTGACTACTCTAGAAACCTCATACAAGCAGAGTCATACAGTATTTGTTCTTTTATAACTGGCTTATTTTGCTTGGCATCATGTTCTAAAGGTTCATTCATATTTTAGCACGTGACAAAATTTACTTGCTGTTTAAAGCCAAATAATATTTCATTGTATATATGGATAGACACTAACATATAATTTTGGACATTTGGGTTGCTTCCATCACTTGGCTATTTATTATAAATAGCACCACTGTAAACATGGATGTGCTATGACCCAGCAATTGCACTGCTGGGGATTTACCCCAAAGATCCAGATGCAATGAAACGCCGGGACACCTGCACCCCGATGTTTACAGAAGCAATGTCCACAATAGCCAAACTGTGGAAGGAGCCTCGGTGTCCATCGAAAGATGAATGGATAAAGAAGATGTGATCTATGTATACAATGGAATATTACTCAGCCATTAGAAACGACAAATGCCCACCATTTGCTTCGACGTGGATGGAACTGGAGGGTATTATGCTGAGTGAAGTAAGTCAATCGGAGAAGGACAAACATTATATGGTCTCATTCATTTGGGGAATATAAAAATAGTGAAAGGGAATAAAGGGGAAAGGAGAAAAAATGAATGGGAAATATCAGAAAGGGAGACAGAACACGAGAGACTCCTAACTCTGGGAAACGAACTAGGAGTGGTGGAAGGGGAGGTGGGCGGAGGGTGGGGGTGACTGGGTGGTGGGCACTGAGGGGGGCACTTGATGGGATGAGCACTGGGTGTTATTCTATATGTTGGCAAATTGAACACCAATAAAAAATAAATTTATAAAAAGAAAAGAAATCTAGATTACGTGTAAAAATAAAAAGACCCTGCTTTCAATTATTTTGTATATATACACTTGCGTCCATTTTTAACCTATATAAATACATTTTGCTCTTAAAGACTGACATTTTGCCAGCATTTTATAAGAAAGTAAATTCTCTGAAAGTATAATAATACAAAGGAACATTTGCCTTTACAATGTAAATTAAGGAGAATTTTACAGAGCTCCTTCATTTTAATACAGATAGGACAATAGAAAATCCATAGTCATACTTCATATAAAATATTTTCCATTGGTCAATGATACAGATAAATAGATAGATATACACACACATGCATACACACATAAATCTCCTGAAAGTAGTCCACTTTGGAATAAATTGTGTTTATTTTTTAAACTGCAATGGCTGATTTTGTACTATGTGGTTATCTTTTCTTTTTTAAAGATTTTATTTATTTATTCATGACAGAGAGAGAGAGAGAGAGAGAGAGAGAGAGAGAGAGAGAGAGAAGCAGAGACACAGGGAGAGGGAGAAGCAGGCTCCATGCAGGGAACCTGATGCGGGACTCGATCCCTGGACTCCAGGATCGCGCCCTGGGCAAAAGGCAGGCACTAAACCGCCGAGCCACCCAGGGATCCTCCTATCTGGTTATCTTTTTTAAAAATTCTTTTAACTCTTTTATTAACCAACAGGAAAAAGGTAAGAAGAGAGAAGAAGGGCGCTAAAGTCAGTCACAGCAGGAAGAAGGACAATCATAATTGCTGATCTTTCTGATACTACTAAGTAGGAGTTTGTGCAGTACAATTAAGAGTACTGGGCCATAATTTTACAAGCAGAATTAAGTATCAGAGCTATATTTATAAAAATACCAATTGTTCCATATTTAGACTTTCATGATAATAGAATCCTAGAACTTGTAAGCTTATCAAGCCCTACTCCCTTATTTCACAGTGGGAGAAATGCGCTCAAGAGACTAATGGCCTGGGGATCCCTGGGTGGCTCAGTGGTTTAGCACCTGCCTCCGGCCCAGGGTGTGATCCTGGAGTCCTGGGATCGAGTCCCACATTGGGCTCCCTGCATGGGGCCTGCTTCTCCCTCTGCCTGTGTCTCTGCCCTTCTCTCTCTCTGTCTGTGTCTCTCACAAATAAATAAATAAAATCTTAAAAAAAAGAGAGACTAATGGCCTGTCTAATATCAGCTTATAATTCCTGAAGCTGGAACAGGAACTCCTCAGTATGATTTCAAAATTCTTCTTACTGTATACTGTTATGATTACATGTATATTTCATCTTCCTTTAACTGAATGTAGCAGGATATAGATGTTCAGATTGTATTGACAGGGAAATATCTCTTTGCTTTTCTTCCTTTTATTTATAATAGATGTACGGGATGCCACAAAGTCCCCTCAGCAAATAGGAGGGTTTGAAGATTTAACCTTCACTGCCCTTAAGGAAGCAGGATCTGGTTAGGAGTTGCTAATAGTTATTGCTCTGAATTTGAAGAGCTATCAAGGTCTGCTGTAGGAGAGCAAAGAATTGATTCTAGAATTCACAGGCTGTATGAAGATCAATGGAGGGACTCCAACACTACCAGGAGGACTTAGAGAAAGTAGAATAAGAGGTGTTTCCATAAAGTAGCTTGGGAATATGAGAACTGGTCATGGGAGGCGCTCAAAAGGGAGACAATCCCTTTCCTAAAGAAGAGTCATGTGACAAGGCGAAGAACACGTACAGATGCCCAGGCATTTACATCGACCACTCAGTCTATGTTCAATGGAGGAACTTCCAGGGTCTTTACCCAAGGGCCTGCACACTGTTTTGGTGAGAATCACTTTGTGAAAAGTGCAGCAGAGTGATAAATACCCATTCTCCCTAACTGTTTGGCTTATATCTGAGAGACCCATGTGTCCACCTCCCCAGGGCTGCCTCAGCCTAGCTCACAATGCCCCAGGTGATCCTTCTGTTCTAAACAGACCCCATCAGAACCATGTATATCTAGTAGAAGTAGGGGGACTCCTCTCAGCTGTACCTAGAAGGGCTATGTCTAGCATAACAAATGCAAGTGTAAGCTCCCTAGAACTGAAGTAATGGCTATACTAAAGCTTAAAAACGTAGACAACTATTCCTTTGCAATGAGTTTAGTTTTACTCTTTTATAAGAATTCAGGACCTTTAAGTTTTTTCTAGTTTTTCTTTCATAAATGGATAAAGGCTTGAAGATATAAAGGACCTCACTTTGTTAATTTATAAAATTTTAAAAATTACCTAATTCTGAAACATTTTGTCTAATGTGTATGTATTATTTACATACACGTGTTTCTCTTTCCTTTCAAATAATTTAACAGATATAAACCAAACAATGGAGAGGATGCAAACTTGATGCTCGGGAAAACAAGATGCATAACTGCGTATTGTTTGTATGACTAACGTGACTTCACTTAACTGTAATCATTTGAAAGTACCAAACATACTACTCTGAATGATTAGTCCTTCATTTTTTTACAGCCAACAAGTTGCCCTCAAGGGTTCTAAACACACAGCAAACTAGATTCTGACTTTGCCTTTATATCTTTAGATTTCCAGAAATATTAAAACCCTACAAAAAGGGAGATTTTTTTTTGGCTTTTATTTTGTTTACTAGCTTTTCTTAGTTTAGACATCAAAATTACCAAAGCGGAGTACATCAGCAATGGGCTTATAGACTGTCTAAAAGCAAATGAGCCACAACAAAAAAATTAAGAGATATACAAAGAGTAAAAGAATGCCTGAATAAAAATCTGCCAGGGAATATTTCCCCCCCCAGTTCAATAGGGCAAAAGATCTACCATAAAAGAAGCAAACAACCATCCTGAAACTTAATTACATTTCAAAGTAATGTAGTTACATGAAAGGACAAAACATTTTTGTTCAATAGTTTGCCTACCAGATGGCACTTCTAAATATAGTCATCTAAAACCTTCTGTTTGTTCTATAAATAAAGATGAAAGGAATAGCAATAATAGCTAAGCATTTAAATCACTGGAAATAAAAGAGCACTTTGATTAGGTTTGGAAAAATCTGGTTTATTCTAACAAGGATCTTAAATCTGGGAAGACACAAGTTTGAGGTGAAGCTCAGAATCTCAAGCTTCCGGGACTGCTCTTGTATCTGCTCAAAATGGTTTTCATTCAGGTAGAGGAACAAACCAGGAACTAATCCCAGGATACGTGGGGAAATCTGAAGTAACATAAGAACTCCTAATCAGTAAAGACTCTAAAGGGCTACAGTCCAAATCCCAGAAGTATTTGAGGGTTTGGGTTTTTTGTTTTGTTCTGTTTTTGAAATGAAATAGTTGGGACATGCCCTGTCTTATTTTTGTGAGCTAAAGTGTAAATGTGTAACAGTTAAGGACCGGGACTTTGGAGTCAGGCCCAATATGTGAGCCCAGGCTCTACAAATGACTGGCAGTATGCTCTTGCGCCAAGTTCCTTACCGTTTTGAGCTCCACTGGCAAAACAGATAGCAATAGGACAGAGTTTTATGGGAATGTACTAATGACAGCGCTTGGCACCTACTAAGTCCCAATGAATTTCAGCTATGTAGTATCACTATTAGTATATATGATCTACATTACATCAGCATATTATTAGGCTTCTGATTTTCTGCTGTCTCAGAGCATGGCGTGATGTGCAGCCAGGTTCTCTGGCAATAATGGAGTTCTAACAGAAGTCAAAGCCTTACCTGGCATATCTCCAAGTGTTTCTCCTAGTATAACACTGCCCTCTTCTCACCTGGCTCTTGAAAGTTATCGAGAGTTCGTATGTGGACGGCAGGCCTAAAGATAGAAGTACTTCTTAAGAATTGGTTGTCAGAGGTCAGTCCACCCCAGTCCGTCCGTCCACTAGAATGACTTCATTCTCAGTACTCTCAGCTGACGATCTATAGGCTTTAGTGAAATGACTCAGAGTTCCTTTTGGATCTGGTGAACTAATGGCATGTAGGACCATTCCCATAGACAGCATTGGTCCAACACTGCGATTTCATAGAGCTTGTCTTGGCAGCTGACCCATGATGTTAAGCAACCTAGTCACTTGGGAGTAGGGTGAGTACCATGAACAAATAAAAGATAAGTTGGAATTGCTTAAACATGATGCAAACTACAATGAATGGAAGACTAGAGTTTAACAGCACTTAAAGTTCTCCTGGGTTGTTTGATGAATTTTACATGAGGAAAGAGCCATTTGCGGGGTCTACAGCCCTCGGCATTAAAAGATGTCTATGGTTAGGTCTTTATCAAGAAGGTAATCCTACTTGTTTTCAGTAGTTTAAAACTTGTGATAAAATGTACATAAAACCTACCATTTTAATCATTTTTAAGTGTAGAGTTCAGTAACATTAAATACATCTGCAATGTCGTAAAACCATCATCACTATTCCCAGAATTTTTTTCATCATCCCAAACAGAAACTCTATGCCCATTAAACAACAGCTCCTCACCAATCCTTCTTCCCCTTTGGTTTTGGTAATCACTGCCCTCCTTTCTGTCTTTAGGAATTTGCTTCTTCTAGGAACCTCACCTAAGTGGGATCATTCAATATTTATCCTTTTGTGTCTGGCTTATTTCGCTTGGTATAGTGTTTCCGAGGGTCATGGAAATTGTAGCATGTATCAGAATCCCTTTCCTTTTTAGGGCTGAATAATACTCCATTACACATGTTTGCATTTTGTTTTCCATCCATCCATTGATGGCCAGTTGGGGTGCTTCCACCTTTTGGCTACCGTGAATAACCAACACTGGTATGCCAACATCTTTTTTGAGCTCCTGCTTTCATTTCTTCACGACCCAAAGTAGAATTGCTAGATCATACGGTAACCATTTAACTTTTTGTGGAGCAACTGAACTGCTTCCACGGCTGCTGCACCATTTCACCTCCCCATCGGCAATGCACAAGAGTTCCAATTTCTCCACATCACCACCGACATTTATTTTGTTCTTGTTTTTGTGATAATAACCACCTTGGTGGGTGTGACATGGTACCTCCTTAGAACTGCTGTGCGAACCATTTCTTTAAAACTACAGAGCTATTACAACACTTCTCATCTTGAATATAAAAGTCACAAACGTCCTGTTCAAGGCCCAAAAGCGGAAAGTCAAATATGATTATATCTGCTAAATTCTGAGCAAAATGACACCAATATCTGCAATCTGACAAATACACCAATTCTCCACATAAATATAAGCCAATCTTGAGGATCCCTGGCTGGCTCAGTGGTTGAGGGACTCCTTCAGCCCAGGACGTGATCCTGGAGACCCGGGATCGAGTCCCACGTCGGGCTCGGCACGGAGCCTGCTTCTCCCTCTGCTTGTCTCTCTCTCTCTCTCTCATGAATAAATAAATAAAATCTTTAAAAAAAAAAGGCAATCCTGAATTCTGGAATTGCTGCTAAAAATCCTACAGTAAATAAATAGGCCGTTTAGGCTTACCGAAAAGCTGTCACCTGCACAAAACCACCCTCCGCATAACCAAAGCGTCAGGGCTGTAAAACCCGCCTCTGACTTGACCAGAGCGGCAGAACTGCAGCAGCCCCAGGGCGCATGCGCGGCCCGAGGAGCGCCCCCTGCGTCCCAACGTGCGCGGGCCCGCGCGGCGAAGGGGCGGGGCCGCGGGGGGCGGGGCCGCGGAGGAGGGGCGGGGCTTGCGAAGGGGCGGGGTCGCGGCGGAGGAGCGGGGCCGCGGCGGAGGGGCGGGGCCGCGGCGGAGGGGCGGGGCCGCGGCGGAGGGGCGGGGCCGCGGCGGAGGGGCGGGGGCCCCGCACTCCTCTGGCGGCAGCGATGGCGGCTGTGTCGGGTTCCGTCCGCTTGCAGCGGTGTGTGGTGTCGCCGGCCGGGAGGCACAGCGCCTCTCTGATCTTCCTGCACGGCTCAGGTGGATTACGCCCTAGTTTTCTCCTTGGGGAGCGTCCTGCCCTCGGGTCCCCCAGTGTTGCCGTCGTGGAAGAGTCGCCCCACCCCCACCCCAGGGCTCGTGGACTCGGAGAGGGCGACCCTCCCCGCTCGCTGGCCCCGCGCGGGGGGACCCGCCGCCTTCCCCGCCGCGGGTGCCCTCTGCCTGGCGGTGCTCGGCCCGTCGTCCTGCTGGTGGCCCCCGTGCCCCCCGGACCATCCCCCCATCCACAACACTGTCTCCATTGCAGCCCTTGCTACCGTGCCCCCCTCTCCTCCCCCGACCCCCCCCCCCCCCGGTTCTCCCTCAAGTCTAAACAGAGCGAGTTAGTAAGGTAAGTTTTCTGCAAGAGACACATAAATCACTTAGTACTCTCCAGGGCCAGCTATTAGGGATTGGGGTTTTCAGCCGCCTTGGTTCTGTGCCACTTTCTTCCTCCAGCCTCGTACTCCTGCAGACGGGGGAGATACTGGAGTGGTTCATGGATTATGTCCTTTGTGCGAGGCCCTGTGCCAGGGTCGGAGCGCTTTCTCCCAGTCCTGTCGGCCCTGCTGCTCCTTCTGCCTGTTCCTCTTTCCCCCTCTTGTCCTTAAACCCCCGAGATGGAGCACAAGGTCACATCTCAGCCCGGAGAGAGATGGTCTCCTTCCACCGCTTGCCCTTAGGGCGTTTAATTCTTTGTAGGACTCCTCACCCTCATCTGTAATTGCTTAAGGCCTGTCCTCCCCACTTCGCCTTCCCTTCCTCAAGAGGAAGGGCCCTTGTCTTTTATTTTTATTTATTTATTTATTTATTTATTTTTAAAGGACCCTTGTTTTAATCTTTGCATCCCTAGTGCCTGGCCCAGGGTGAGTTCTTGGGAATTTTTTTTTTTTTTTTAAAGAAATGAGATGCAGCCCGTGTCCTCAGAGCGCCTACCTAAAGTCAAAAAACAAAAACAATTCAATTAGTTTGAGTCAGCAGTGGATGGGAGATCACAAGATGGTGCGTGATTTACTGCCAAGAGGATCGTAAGGAGAAAACTGTGGTTAGGCCTATTAAGCATTTGGAAGATGAAGAGCTTGTCGGATTTGAGCGAGAACGTGGGCTCTCAAGCCGAGACTTCTTCTGTAGGCCTAAAGAGGATGGTGGTTGGTTAGTGCGAGGGGATTGGGAAGGTACAAAGGGGAGGCCTCCAATGGGCCAGTTGTGGGAAGTATTTTCATTTTAAAAACAAGTCCAGAGAAGTTGAACAGCTTGCCCAAGGCCACTTGATGTTTCTGTGAGAGTAGTGGGTTTAGGATCCGCACCCAGATCTCTCTGACCCCCCCAGAAGGGGTAAGGCGGAACAACTCTGAGCTAGGCTGTATCATTTTGGAAATAGGGAAGAAATGGGCCAAAGATGTTGAAAGGGAAAGACTTGGCTGATGAAATATATTTAGAAGATGAAGCCAGATGTCTTAAGAGGACATCAATGCTTTACAATTAAGAGACTATTATTCCTGGTACTGTTTGGGGTTCCAGGGGTGTTCATTTATAAGCATCGAGAAATGCCCTGATGCTGTAGTCTTTGTAATAAATAAGCTGATTATCTCATAATATCTTTTTTTTTTTTTTTAGATTTTATTTATTTATTCATAGAGACAGAGAGAGAGAGAGAGAGGCAGAGACACAGGCAGAGGGAGAAGCAGGCTCCATGCAGGGAGCCCGACGTGGGGCTCGATCCCGGGTCTCCAGGATCCCGGCCTGGGCTGCAGGACGCTAAACCGCTGAGCCATCCCGGCTGCCTCCTATCTCATAATATCTTTAGGAAATACTCCTAGACTTTTCTTTGGTCCATGGCCACTTTGCTTAAAGTACTATCCTTACTCTTTTCAATTTCAAATTACTGACCTTTTTATAGGTTGTAAGCCCAGACTTGTACAATATAAAAATATATGTATTTTTTCCCTTTGTACTTTGGAACAAAGAATTTATCCAAAGAATTCTGCCAATTATGCAAATGAAATGCAATTCCTCTATAGTTAGAGCTCCATTGCAGTACATTAAAACCCTTACTGGAAGTCCGATTTTAACCTTTGACTTTATGTGGTTATGTTATAGATGCTTGGGTTCTGGTTAATCCGAATACGGGCAGACCAGTTTTAACAGTCTTAGCAAAGCTCCTAAAATAAAGTGCTGGCTTTTTAAAAAGTGCACCTTGTGAATGGATGACTGGAGGTTACTTTGTAGCATTAAGTTTTGCTTTTCAAGGTTGAAAAAGTGTATTTAGAGGCAGATTTTTTTTTTTAATCTTAAAAGGCTGAAGTTCTCTGCTAAGATATGGCAGCCATAGAAAAACATATGGGAATGTAATATATAGCCAACTTAGTTTGAGCCTTTCCTACTCCTAAAATACCAAAGAGGTACTTTCTTTCAGGATGATAAAAACAATAGTTTAATTTAGCTTTTTCAGCTTCCCAACTTAGATTAAGTCATTCTATTGTATGCTACTTTAGAACATTATGGTTCTTCTTTTAATGGTATTTTCATATGTGTAATTACCACATTTAATGTCTATATTCCACACTACACCATAAGGTTCACACAGACCCGAACCATGGTATTTTGCTTTCCACCCTTATAGTCAGTCTCAGTGAACTAAGTTGACTGTCACTAAAGTTACTAGTAACCTCTGTGTTGCTAAATGTGGTGAATGTTTTCCAGTCATCTTATTTGAACTGTCAGCAACATTCAGTGTTCTGGAAACACTTGATTCTTTCTACCTATTTATTTCTTTTGCAGACTCATCCTCTTCTTTCTGTCCATTAATGTTGGGGTTCCTCAGAATTTGGTCCTAGGACCTCTTTTTTCAGACTCATCCTCTTCTTTCTGTCCATTAATGTTGGGGTTCCTCAGAATTTGGTCCTAGGACCTCTTTTTTCATTTTGCATTTTTCTCTCCAGGCTAATGTGCATATATACCTGAGGATTCTATTTTTTTTCCACCATACGATGACATAAATTTGTGTCTCTATTTTAGGTTTCCTTTGTGCTCTGGACATGTTTATCCACCTGCATAATAAGTGTTCATTCATTAATCTGTTCATTCAAGAGGTATCTGTTATATGGCCAGCAGTGGCACTGTTCTAGGCTCTAGGCATATATTGATGAATGAAACAAACAAAAATTCCTGTTCTTGTGGAACTTACATTCCAGTGGAGGAAATTTTATATAGTGGGTAGAAGTCCAATGGGGGGAAAAAAAAAGTAGGACGAAGAGGATGGGAGGTGCCAGGGGTGATAGTTTTAGATAAGGTGGTCAGAGTAGGCCTCACTATGAGGGTGACACTTCAGCACCTAGACTTGAGTGAGGGAATCATGTGGATGTTGGGTTAGACTTATTGTGGATGAGGGAGAAGCCAGGACAAAGGCCCTGAAGTAGGTTCCCTAACATTCATGGAACAGCAGTCAGGTGTGTGTGCCTGGAGTGAGATGAGTAGGCCAGGATCTTCAAAAGGGTACTGGCACAGATGGTGTGGGGCAGGGGTCAGCAAACTCTCCATAAAGGGTCAAATAGCAACTATTTTAGGTTTTGTGAGCCAGATAGGTTTCTTTGACATTTTTCTTTTCTGCTTACTCTCCCTTTTCAATCCTTGTTATTTATTTTTTTTTTTAGCAACTCTTTAAAAATGTAAAAACCATTCATAGTTTATGACGTTTGTCTTCCACCTGGCTATACTTTGCTCATCTCCGGGTAGAAGACCCTGTAGGCAGTAGAGCAAGTATAGACCTACTGATTCATGTGTTTCCTGTCTCAATGTGTAGTTCTATTGTTCATTCATTTGTCCTGGCCAGAAACCTCACGGTTATCCTTGAAACCTTCCACCACTAACCCATCATAATGAACCTCTTACCAATCTCTATTAATTTTATCTTCTAAGTATCCTTGTACCTATTTTGGTACATTCCAGCAGCCCCGGTGGCTTAGTGGCTTAGCGCCACCTTTGGCCCGGGGCATGATCCTGGGGACCTGGGATCGAGTCCCACATCAGGCTCCCTGCATGGAGCCTGCTTCTCCCTCTGCCTGTGTCTCTGCCTCTCTGTGTGTATGTCTCTCACGAGTAAATAAAATCTTAAAAAATAAAGACTTAATTCTGTACATTCCATTGCTGGACCCCTAATATAAGCTTCTGTCACCTGAACAGTAGGCTCCTAATTGATCTCCCCACACCCACTTTTGTCCCTCCCTCCTGTCCACACAGCTGCAAGAGTGACCCTTAGAAGATGGCACCTTTCTGCCAAAAAGTAGCTCCATGCTCTTAGGAATTGTCACATCCCCACAGTTTCTCTTGCCTCATCTTGCACTCCCTGCTCTTTCTCATTCTTTAGTATCCTCCTCCCCCTTCCTTTAAAGAATCTTAGCACTTGCCATATTCTGTCCAAGATACTCTTTCCTTGTGCACTTCACTTTTCACCATCCTGTAGATCTGAAAACTGTGTCAGTTTGTGTCATTTGTGATCTAAGTATTAAATGAATAAATAACTCAGTGGGTAAAATACAAAATGAACTTTGCTTCACAGAGCTTTTATTCTAGTAATTGTATCCCCGAACTCCTTAGCTGGGTCAGTTCTGAATATAATAAACCCTGGCAGCACCAAGTGTCTCATCTTCGCTGTGGTTACATTTGTCTCTCATATTTATGTATGATTATTTGACTTATGTCTGTTTCTCATAATAAACTGTATCCTCAGTGAGATTAGGGACTCTTTCTTCCTCATCTTGCCATCATTGCCTCTCTAGTAGTGAGCACAGCACCTGACACATTATAATAGGTATTCAGTAGATATATTTTTAGTTGATGTCTTAATGAACTGATTTAAAAAATTAAAAGTTGTTACCTTTAAAATTTCCTCTTCAAGACCACATAACATGGACCTGTATTACCTTCCTTTTTTTTTTTTATGGAAATATCCATACATTAATTCTTACATGGATTTTGGTTATTTTTCAGCCTTGGGATGTATAATCAATATTTTACGTGATGTAAACCTGTTATCAAATTTAAATTTAGATTTCTTCAAGTGAGGGGTGCCTGAGTGGCTCTGTGGTTGAGCATTGGCCTTTGGCTCAGGTCGTGATCCCGGGGTCTTGGAATCGAGTCCCTGTGGGGAGCCTGCTTCTCCCTCTGCCTATGTCTCTGCCTCTCTCTGTGGGTCTCTCATGAATAAATAAATAAATATTTAAAAAAAAAAATAAAAAAGAAAGATTTCTTCAAGTTAAAGTAAGCTGAATACCCCTTTTGAAAGATTTGGTTATTTCTACCAAGAAAATTGCTTTAGGTTGTTCAACTACAAAAGTTTATATACACCTCAGAAATTTACTGTTTTTATGAGTAAGATGAGAAATGACAGTATTTAAAATCAGATACAGAAAGAATTTTGTTTAGAAAAAAATAATTTACTTCATGTATTTGTGCCTGTTATACCCTTTAATCAAACAAGAAACTGAAAACTCAAACAAGGTCTTTATTTATTTATTTATTTTTAAGATTTTATTATTATTATTATTTTTTTTTTAAGATTTTATTTCTTTAGCCATGAGAGACACAGAGAGAGAGGCCGAGACACAGGTAGAGGAGAAGGAGGCTCATGTAGGGAGCCTGACGCAGGACTTGATCCTGGATCTCCTGGACCATGCTCTGGGCTGAAGGTGGTTACTAAACCGCTGCGCCACGCAGGAATCCCTCAAAACAAGGTCTTTAAAGTGATTGGTGGTGCAGTTATTTTTACATATGGAGATTTTTTTTGTATTCCTTGTTCTAGCCTCTGTGTGATTTGAAAGTTACATAGACTGCTTTTAAATATGCTGTGTTATCAAAATGATTTCTCTTAATCTACATTTTCTGATCCATCAGGTGATTCTGGACGAGGATTGAGAACATGGATCAAGCAGGTTTTAAATCAAGAGCTAACATTCCAACACATAAAAATTATTTATCCAACAGCTCCTCCCAGGTATGCAATAATTTATCTCACTGCTTAGTATAACTGTGGCATAAAATGTATATAAATAGATGAACCAGCTAAATGTTCTTTAAACTTAATTCTGTATTTAAAATATTTTAAATTGGGGTACTTTTGCCCAGAACTTTTTTTTTTTTTTCAGTTCCACAATTGGGCCAAGTTTTACAAGACGAAAAATTTCTTCACTCTTTGTAAAGCATTCCCTGAAGCTCTTAACTTAGACTTTGTCCTAAGCACAGCCTATAGAACTCTGCTTCCTTTGTCCCTGAAGATTGCTCATCTTTCAAATTCTCTTTTCCCTTTGCTTACTCCTAAAAGAAACTGCTCCTAACAAATATAAGCTTTCTAATAATTTAGTTATGCCAGAGTTCATAATCTCTGGCAAAGGGTTACATGGGCATTCTTTCTGTACTTAAAAAGATTTAGAAACAATGTTAAGCTTTTTGAATCAGTAAACCCGAATAGGAATGTGATATTGACTACTTAATAAAATATTTAGATTATACAATCAGTAGATGTGTTTAATAAAAATACACAGGAGATTGGTATAGTTTTAAAGTCATACTGTTTTTTATAATTATTAAGTTAGCATCTGCATAGGCTTTTTATCCTGAGCACATATTTTTAACTGGAGTTTGCAAATACTTTTTTTGGGTAAGCAAACTAATGTGCTGAGCTGTGCATCCCTATCTGATTTTCCATTATCTGTTCTTGATTTGTTCTTATTAATTATGCTGTGTGCTTATGCAAATTCATTTTGGTGTTTTGATTGTTGTGTTTTTTTTTTTCCTAAGTTGTATTGAGAATCAGAACCAGAACTTCAAGGACCTTCTTATGTGCAATTAAGATTTTATTTACCTCAATTGATAGACTCGAAAGAGGTAGAACAATAAAATGATAATTTTGTTGTAAAATTTAAGATTCAAAAAGTTATTTCAATATAATCTTAAAGTAGTTTAGTAGTTTGGTAGTGCACATAAAAGACTAATAACCAAGGGGTTATTTTTGTATTGTAACCGAATGTTTTTGAAATGTCAAAAGAGCTTGTCATTTGCTATTGGTTTTCAGAATAAGTGAAGTTTAGAAGGAGAAAGACAGTGATATTTCTATGGAGATGGGAAAGATAAGTTCATTTCATCCTAAATGTAAATATAATTGATAAAATTGAATACAGGCCAGTGTATCTCAAACTGTAGGCCAGAAATATTTCTGAGAATCCAAAAATCTTCATGTGCACTCAGTATTATTTGTGGATGCTGTTGTGTTTAAGTAAAATATAAAATCACTCAACTATTTCAGTGAATTCGTGGTAACATTTTGATATTATATATTTCCATTGTCACCTGTTTGAACAGGCTGTCAAACATTTTAAACCATGCTGACCAATGAAATGTAATACGTGAATTTAAATTTTCTTGGTACCACATTAAAAAAAGGAAAAAGTAAAAATCAAGTAAATTGATTTTAATAATGTATTTTACTTAACTTACTATATCCAAATTGTTATCATATCAACATATAATCAATATAAAATTATTAAAGTAACAATTTACGTTCTTTTATTCATTCTAAATCTTTGAAATCTGGTATATATATCTTACAAGTGCAGTACATCTCAATTTGGATGCTGATCAGTTAAATTTCTATTAAATAATTATTTACTCAAAACAAAAACACTAATTTGAAAAGAAATATGCCCACCTGTGGGTTTATTATTGCAGCATTATTTACAGTAATGAAGATATGGAAGCAACCCAAGTGCCACCGATAAATGAATGGATAAAGATGTGGCGTGTGTGACACTGGAGTATTACTCAGCCATAAAAATGAGTGAGATCTTGCCACTTGCAGCAAGATGAATGGACCTAAAGGGTATTATGCTAAGTGAAATAAGTCAGACAAATACCATATGATCTCATTTTCATGTGGAATATTAAAAAACAAATAGAAACAAACCAAAAAACAGACTTAAATGCAGAGAACAAACTGATGGTTGCCAGAGAGGAGGTGAGTGGGGGGAATCAGTGAAGCAGACACAATTTCTAAGAGGTAGAAATTTCCATTTATAAAGTAAATAAATCACAGAGATGAAGAGTACAGCATAGAGAATATGGTCAATAATGTAATAACATTTGGTGACAGATGGTGACTGCACTCATCATGGTGAACACAGCAATGTATAGAATTGTTGAATCACTTATATCTAAAACTAATATAACACTGTATGTTACTTATACTTCAATTAAAAATTACGTTAAATAAAAGTGAAAGTTCAGTGGCTGGTTAAATTACGTGCATTTTTAAATGCTATATAGCTCTATGTGGCTAGAAATTAACATTTGTGACAGTATAATTTGAGACTTTAAAGAGGAGGTCCCATATATTATAGTACATTAAAGACGACTATCCTAGATCAAATCATCATTTTTACTTAAATTTCTCATGGATTATAGCGCTTGGAATTGTTAGATTTCTTTTGTTGATGAAGTGATTTAAATTGTTAGTTCTCAAGCACAGGTGGTTCTCCCTCAGAGAACATTTGCAATGTTGGGAGACATTTTTGGTTGTCAGAACTGGCCGGAGAGGCAGCGTAAGAGGCTACTGGCATCTCAGGTAGAAACCTGGGATGCTGCTAAACGTCCTACACAGCAAGAGACAGCCCCCACAACAGAGAATAATCCAGCCCCAAATCTCAGTAGTGCCCAGCCTGAGAAACCCTGCTTTAAATTACACCTTTCTCCCACACATACTAGATGATTAGTATCTTGATTCTCTGTTAGAGGGAAAAAAAAAAAATGTTGCAGTGTGGTCAGCTGTTTATATTTTAGAAAAACAAATATATGAGGTAATTAAAATATGAATGGTATCATTGTCTTTGAATCAATACAAAAAGAAGTTGAGATTGCACCTAAGAACAGTTCTTTATGTACTGGGCTTTCTTTATTTTTAGATTTAATTACTCTAGGTCAGAAACATTAAATACAAAATTCCACTTTCCTTCAAAATTTACTCTTGAGAGCATGGGATTGTGAAGCTTGGCTTCCTTGTTTTCACTGGTTATAAGATTCCTAAAATGGAGAAATTAAAACCTCACAATTGAGTAAACTTTGCAGTTTTCCATTCAGAAACTTGAGAGCTTTTCAAAAATTTTCAGAAAGAGTGTGTTTATATGTTTTTAGTCCAAATAAGATCTACATTGTGGGTCATTACATCTCAGACCCCTATCCTTGATTAGAGGCATCATATATGACAGTGAAATGAAACACATTATAATTGAGGATAGTAATGCCAGTTAATTTGCTATCAATATACAAATCAAGTAAGTTTGTAAGATGTTTGTTGCTTTCAAACATAAATACCAGAACCCTAGAAAAGTTATTTTGTTTCAGATATTCAGCAAGTTGTACATTCTGTAGCTCTGCTGTATTTCATTGGTCCTTTCCCACATTGGAAATCAAATGTCACTGATCAAGGATTACCAATGGCTCCAGACATTTCAACTTTATGATCTTCTAAATGTTGGAAGGGATCTTATAACGAGCCAGTATAACAAGCAAGAACTGGTTCAATGTTTTATTATATTAGAAAATCTATTTCAACATTGTGAAATAGTGTGAAATCATTTTTCTTTTGTTCTGTGAACAGTGAAGAAATCAGCAAATCTTCCAAATGTCTCAGACTCTCAGAGCAATTAGAAACTTTATTTAATATGTAATTTAAAGTTACAAGATCTGAACTATTTCACTTTCGAAAATGAACCACATCCTTATTGATTGAGGATTTTGCAGTCTTAGTTCATCTTACATCTCATTGAAGTTTTGGTACATGCTATTTCCTTTCTGTTTTAATGTGTTTCAAGATTATTTTGACTTAAGTACATGGGCCCAGAATCGAAGTAGTTAGGACGCTAGATACTACTAGTCTTTAAATACTTCATTCTCTTGTCCTTTTTGAAATTGGTAATGATGCTTTCTTTAGTTTCATAGTGAATTAAGTGTAATACATTTTGAGCATTTTCATATTTTTAGACCAAATTCTCTGTCTCACAAATAATCGTTTCTTATTTTTTTTCCCATTAAATCGTGTTTGGTAGTTATGTAGTGTGACTCCTGTTCACAATCTGACCTCTTTTTCGTATGTTTTTTCCAGACTGTTCAATCAGTCCGGCCCTAGTGCCCTTAGATTTTAGCACTATTAGTGGTGATTTTATATAAATATAGTTAATAAAAATTTGTCCTAGAGGAACAATATTTTGGAGCCTTTTTACATTTTCCTAACTAAAAGTAAAAACTTGAGTAAACCACAAGTATCGTAAAAAGTAAATGGCCACTATTAAGACTATCATCCTATCTTTAATATCTTTAATGTCTTAAGTGTTTATTTAGTTGTGCAAATGTGAGTTCATACTAAACATATGATTATAAATTCTGCCTTTTTTCACTTAAAACTGTATTTAATGATTTCTTCTTATAATGATTTCAGTTCCTTTTGTTTAGGGAGTTAACTTTTCTAAATTGTTTTCCAAGAATGGACAGTTTGCAGTATTACTAACAGTAATATTTAGCATTAATTTATTTTAAAAAAACATTTTCTCATTTTATTACTGAAGCTCTCTGAGGTTTATCAGTTATTATATAAACAGTGCTTTCTATATCACTAATTCAACTTAGCAGTTTACTGAACTAATGTGTTTAGGTAAAAATATAGATAGATAAGTGATTTTTTTTTCCTTGTACACTCAAAATTCTTTAAAAATTTTTTCTTGGTCACAAAGTTGTTGCCTTTACAATGATATCTACCTTATAATTTAACAGCATCTGACACATAACAGACTGAGAATAAAAATGCATAAAAATATCAAAACAGGAACAGAGTACTAATTTGTTGATTAATTCTAAGCTTAGTTAATGGATAAAAGCTTTGCAAATATGTGTAGTTACATTTACATTTTATTCATTTTTGTGCCATTTATATTTAAGTTTATAATATAT